CTCTAAATGAAATGAAATATAATGAATTTTAAATTCGCACTTGGAATGTTAATAAGCGTTGTATTGGTTTTGAAAAAGAGATTCCCAGTATTATGTTTTCTGCTCTGACCCCAGTTCCATAATATTTGTCTCCTGCTCATTGCTATAAACATTACCACCAAAAATATTTTTTGCAGACGTTGTTTTAATTTTGTATAGGTGATTAGCTGTTATGATATTTTTCGACTAATTTACGACTTTTTGATAACTCTTACGTGTGGGGCTGCCACAAAGTACCAAAATGGTAAGTCTCTTAATTGGAGTTTAAACGGACGGACGAGAAAACGAAAACCGATTCGCCGCCACATCCTAAAATTGACCTAAATTCTACTTTGGTACAGAAAAATAAAAAAAATTTCATTAATTTAAGACTCTTTTTCCTTAAGCAGGACCCAAATTCAAGTTTACATTAAAGCTACACTTTTTAAAAAGCACCCTGCCCGAAAGCATATTATTAAATTCATACACATATTTAATAAATCGTTAATTTATTTAAGCCAGAAGCTCTCATTGGTTTTACACAAACATAAAATAAATACAGTATAAATAAACACGTACACGATTGTGTGGGTACATTAACTTACAACATAAATTACATAATAGCAGACATGGAATGTGTATATATGTAAGCCTCTACATATAATAGGAACCGGAAAGTGATACAAAAAAGCACACTGAACATTAAATACATTTAGCTGCACGTGGAAAATCTTAGTGCATAAACTTGACACATCAAACCTTTGGAATATCTGTGAACTGGCCTTAACTTAACAAAGCAGAAAACTGGATGGCCCTCACGTATATAATACCATACTTCTTTTAATTCTACTTAAAATAAATTGCAAGCACGTTAACCCTCCACCTTCAGCTGATCGATGGAGCTTAAAGTCGTTTCAATAAGCAGATTGTAGTCCAATTCGTTGAGACTAGCCTTGGCAGTCAGCAAGTCAAGAAAGGAGTCCAGTGGCGTCAAGGCCTCGGCAGTAAGATCTTGAACAATAAATGTCATAGTTAGAAAAGTGAATTCATTTTTTTTTTAAATACAAATTGTGCAAATGGGACAATGACAGGCGAACACTGATCAGCGACTCTTACCGGTCAGTGGTGGGGGAATTCGTTCTACCAAGTGAGCGAACGATGCCTGAACACAAAGTTCAATATGCTCAGGACCATCGTGATCAAAATGATAAGCAGAAAAACCAAAAGCAGCGAGTGGCAAACAACAGTGTTGGGCTTGCCCAAAGCTGGACGAGAAGTGTGTGTGTGTGGGTGAAGAGTGTGCAAATGAAAAATGATGAAGTTTGTGGGGATAATCCAAATAGTACTTACCGCTGCGCGCATTGTTCCGCGATTGGTTTCCACAGGCAGATGGTCTCTGCTGATGCAGCACCTCCTGCTGCTGGCCAGAAAGAATGTTGGCCGCATGCTCACGGCCTCGAATCATAAGGCTGTCCGGATGCTGCCAGCACTTGAGCAACCGTTGAGCCCTCTGTTTCGGAAGAGCCGACAAAAGAGACAGCTTTCGCTCAATACCTAGTGGGGAGTCCTCAATATCTATAAAGGAATACAGTCAGTTAAACAACCCTCCAAATGAATTACTTTAAAAAAACACACCGAAAACAATGGCCTTCATCACATCCACTTGCAATTCGAACACATGATTCTCCACATACTGCAGGAACATGTCATAGCCCAAGGCCCGATAGCCCAAGTAGGTGAAGAACGAGGAGAAGCCCTCGGGCAGGGGAAAGGCAATCGACTCCACAGCCAGACAGTAACGCTCAAGGATGAGGAACAGCGAGTGTTGCTGGTTGGCAGCCATCTGGTCACTGCAATTATCACGTATTTGAGTTACAAATGATCAGATTGAAAGCCAAAATCAACCCACATCAACTGAAAGCCCCTCAAGGTCTCCATGCGAGCATCCAGTCCCACAGCTCGGCAAACCAGGGAGCAAAGAGCCCGCGACAGCTCCAGCTGCGAGGAAACAAACTGCGAGGCCACCGCGTGGACATGAGCTGGAGCCTGGGAGCGCTCAAAGAAGGTTTCCTTCAGCCAACGGAATCCAGTGTGAGGTTTCGAGGAGTGCTTCACCAAGTGAACGCTCAGCTCGCGCAGATACTGAAAGATAGATCCGTCCTTCAATAAAACTAATATCTAAGGTTTATATACCAACTCACCACAGAGATGACATGCTCCTGCTTGCTGGCCGTGCATCCCTCCAATTCGATGAAGGGCAGAACCTCGTTACTGAACGGAAAGGCACTTCCGCTGCTATAGTCGCCAAAGCCACCAGTGCCCGCATCCGGTGAAAGCGGCGTGGTGCATCTGGAAAGTGCCTCCGGCTGATAGCAGGCCAGGCTAAAGATTAACTTCTCGGTTACCTGCTCAGCACTGAATCTGGGCTGCTCCTGCTTGGCGGACTCGTTGAGCAGATCCCATAATCTGGTCCAGATATCCGTGCGATATGGCGAGAGTCGCTGCTGTGGCGAGAGCAGCATCATGCTGGTATTATGCAGCGTTTCAAGTGACAGACCCACGCTTATATCAGCTACTTTGGCGTGAATTGGTCGTGAGGCTACAGCCGTAGTCAATGGTAGTAGTCTCATCAGTGGCTTGGCCTCCTCTGGCAATCCGCGAACAGCAGCTGCATAGCTGCCTGCCACAAGCGCTTCTTTCAGCAAGGCCACCGTATCCAGGGAGAGTGGTCGTTCCAGGATACTATTCAGTAGCTCGGCCAGCACATCCATGTCATTCGAATGCAGCAAGAAGTAGTGAATTATGCTTATTCGATTATCCAGGGAACTGTCATTCCGAAAGGCCTCGATCAAATGGGATTTGGGCACGGATAAGGAGACAAGATCCAAGGTGGCCACATCGTACGCCAGGGCTCCCCACTTTCGCAAAGGCACTAGGTGGGTGATATCGGGACTTCGATTGTGGGCTGCACAAACGATATGGCAGTTGGGTTCGTGCTGTAGTCCCACGTCCAGTAAATGCACAAAAAAGGCGGAAGACACCAGCAGATGATGCTGACCATGAAGCGCGAAAGTGGGCCTGAGCAGACGAGCCTTTTGCCAGGGCACTCCTGGCATGACGCAGTGCACCACACAGCCGTGGTGAAGTAAAGTCACCGAATAGGCAAAGTGCACGTCCTTCTGCTCCGACTGCATCGGCTGGTATAGATAGTAGTGGCACACGAAAAACATTCCCGAGGTGTCTGCCAGAATGATGAGATTCAGCGAACTATCGTGCACGCGCAGCGGGACCGCGTCGTCATCATAGCTTGGATTTTCTTCCTTAGAGCCATTGGGCAGCTTCGGCAAATTGAGGGGTATGTTTAGCTAGAAAGGAAAAAAGAAGGCACATTAAATTTTAGCATAGATTTCGGTAGGGATTGGGATGTCACAGCATCTAAAGCACCCACCACAGTTTCCGTGGGTTGTTTCTCGTTGAACTGGAAGGCCGAGAGAGTGGGACTCAAAGTGGGGTCAACCTCCTCGCCAGACTCCTCCCTTTCGTCCAATAGACTAAGGCTCTTGGCCTTCGGTTTCAGGTGGATGTAGTAGAGGGCCTGACATTCGGGATCCCACTGGGCCCAGCTGAAGTTCTTGGCCAGCGTTTCGTGGGTGAGAATGCTGGTGTCCAGCCGCCAGGCGCTGCCTTCGCCGCCGCCAGTCGAAGATGTCGTGGAGCTCTGTTTCACCACGCAGCTGAACTGCTTAATGGCTGGGAAAGGAAACAAGGTGTGGGTTATACAGGTAGGGTTACTAGGGTGATTGGGTCACCTACATTCTTCATGTGTGAGCACCAGGAGCTTGTCCTGCCAGCAGGTGCGCGTTGCGCTCTCCACGCGCCACAGAAACTGGGTCATCACCTGGCGGGGTGTGGGCTCCGGGTTGAGGGGCGTGGCCGTGCCGCCCTCAGAGCTGCGCACCTCCACAATAAAGGCCTGATAAAGTTTTCCCTCGGTTTTCTCCACAAAGGATAGCAATGTGACACTACTATTGATCGTTGCCTGGACAATCTCGCAGCATTTGTCCAGGGTCCAGAGGAGTCGCAACTGCTTTTTGGTGGCATGAAAGTGGCCGATGCAAGTCTCCTTGCGCTGATCCTCATCCGAGTACTCGAATATCCAGGACGTGAGCAGTGATCCATCTTGCTCCTGACCCAAAATGCGCCACTCGTTTGCCTTCTCTGCAATTTGAACGGAACTGTCTGTCATGATATCTTTAGTAAATAGAGTGTCAAATCAACTTACCTTTGTAGCCCTGGGTGGCCAACAGACCGCAGAAGTTGGCCGCCAAGTTCTCCTGCCGCAACATTTCGGTTTTTATTTAATATTCTTAAAATAACATTGGGTAGGACTTTTCCAAAACTTTTCGCAATTTTGCAATTTTAGTATGAACGTTGCGTGGTTCTTCAAAAATACCAACCTCTTAAGAACCGTTACACTAGGGCACAGGGTGTGCTGTGAAATTTAAGCGCCAAATCAAAAAATTAAATGAAATTATTTTGGTACCAAAAATATAATACAAATTACTTGCTAAACAATATATTCATAAATTATCATGTTTTCGTTGTTGAATTACAAAATGTATAAGTGGAAGAGGATATAAACTAATCTAGTAGAATATTAAAAAACAAAAAGTTTTGTTTTACTTGAGGCCAGAGCTAGTTTGACTAATAATAACACTAAAAAAATAAACATTTCTTGTTATTCTGTAAAAAATTAAAGATTAGAACCGAACACGCGTATTGCAATACTAATCGAATATAATTGTCTGTAAATTACTTTAAGAATTGCATAGATCTTTATAACAGTTTCGATCCTTAAAGATTAGAACCGAACACGCATATTGCAATACTAATCGAATATAATTGTCTATAATTACTTTAAGAATTGCATAGATTTTTATAACAGTTTCGATCCTTATCGATACCAAAGTGATCTTTTACCATCCTCAGTTAGCATTTATTAAACAGTTAGAATTCGGTGAAAGAAAAGATCAAAGATAACGAAAAAAGGCGGCTTAAACTTAAACGAAATGCCAAGTGAAATTATTACCCTTCAGTTGGGCCAATGCGGCAATCAAAGTAAGTTTTTAAAATCAGGAAAACTATAGCCTGGCCTTGATCACTTTCACGCAGTTGGCTTTGAGTTCTGGAAGAGATTGTGCCTGGAGCACGGGATCTCACCAGATGGCGTCCTCGAAGATTTTGCAACCGATGGACAGGATCGAAAGGATGTGTTCTTCTATCAGGCGGACGACAATCACTATATACCGAGGGCCGTGCTTATTGACTTGGAGCCGCGAGTCATCAACAATATCATGACCTCTCCGTACTCCAAGGTCAGTAAAAAAATTAATTATATGACCTAGTATTAAACTTAACCCAATGTAAGCCATAAAAAAAAAGATCCGACTTATAGCTAACATGGACATGCAAATGTCTATAGCTCGAACTTGTCTAACTTAAATTCTTTCTAACGCAATTTAGTCTTACAAAATTATTTTCCGTTTATTATTCCCTATGACTCCAAAATATTAATCTTTACATCTCGAAAAAATATTATATATGCATCATATAAGTTATGATACCAACTGATTGGTTTTCCCCACTCCCAGCTGTACAACCAGGAAAATGTGTATCTTTCAAAACACGGTGGCGGTGCAGGCAATAACTGGGCCTCTGGTTTCAGCCAGGGCGAGAAGGTTCAGGAGGAGGTCTTCGACATACTGGACCGCGAGGCAGATGGCAGCGACTCGCTGGAGGGATTTGTTTTGTGCCACTCGATTGCAGGCGGAACAGGCTCCGGAATGGGATCGTATGTTCTGGAACGGCTTTCCGATCGATTTCCCAAGAAGCTTATCCAGACGTACAGCGTGTTTCCCAATCAAGACGAGATCAGCGACGTCGTTGTCCAGCCATATAACTCGATCCTTACCCTAAAGCGACTAACCAAGTGCGCTGATAGCGTGGTTGTGCTGGATAATACCGCCTTGAACCGCATCGCCACCGAGAGGCTGCACATCCAGACGCCCACTTTCACACAGATCAATAATCTGGTGTCCACCATTATGAGCTTGAGCACTACCACGCTGAGATATCCCTCTTATATGAACAACAACCTGATCGGACTAACGGCTTCACTTATTCCAACGCCCCAGCTGCACTTTCTGATGACTGGATATACTCCACTGATCACTGATTATGAGGTAAGATCCTGAAGCTTTAAAATAGAGGTGTGCTTAGAAGTTATATGTTAAATATCTCCTAAGCGATACTTACAGTTTCCAAATATTTCTTGGCTTCATATAATTTCTATAAAATCTTACATTTAGAAAAAATATATTCTCAAAACCGTTCTGTCGATCTCATAAATAACGCGAGATTACTTTCATCTTCATAATATAATTGCTCTGTGTAGAAAAACAAGCTAGATCAGACTTTGCTCTTGTTTTCAAGAAGATTTATTCTCGAATAATTCGATCTTTTTTAGTTCTCCTTGTTTGCAAAAAGTTTTTTCTTGGTGATCTCTTAAAATCTCTTAATGATCTTTATGACCTGATAAAAATATGTTTTTTTTATATTATTTGCAGACCAAAACAAACGTTCGAAAGACCACTGTGCTGGATGTGATGCGTCGCCTTTTGCAGCCCAAGAACATGATGGTCTCCGCCACGAGTGACAAACAGAACCGCCACTGTTTCGTCTCCATACTGAACATCATCCAGGGAGAGGTGGATCCTTCGCAGGTGCACAAGTCGCTGCAGCGCATACGAGAGCGAAAGCTGGCCAACTTTATCCCCTGGGGTCCGGCCAGCATCCAGGTGGCTCTGCCGCGTAGTTCACCGTATGTGCAATCGGCCCATAAGGTCTCCGGACTGATGATGGCCAATCACACGGGAATCAGTGCTCTCTTCAAGAGAGCCCTAGCCCAGTATGATAAGCTGAGGAAACGCAACGCCTTTCTGGACAATTTCCGGCGCGAGTCCATGTTTAAGGAGGACCTGACCGAATTGGACTTCGCACGGGACACGGTCGACTGCCTGGTGCAGGAATACGAGGCGGCCACCCAGATCGACTATCCCCAGTGGAGTCCGCGCATCGAAGCTTCCAAAGCCGGTTAACTTTCTACGTATTTCAACATTTTTCTGTTTAAAATATATTTTAAAGTGTTACTTATCTAATTATAAAAAACTTTATTTACTTTTTGATTGGGGAAGTTAAAGGGGATATTTAGGAAAGACATTTAGATAACCAAACATGTATTGCCAGGAATAGCATCAAAGTTTGATTACCCTCTTTTTTTCACCACAATGGGGAGTTCCAATTGCAATTTTCATGCTTAACCAAAAAAATTATTTTTTAGATTTGTTAAATATTTCAACTTCTTGTTTCTGTTCCTTAATGATTTTTTAATCATATAAGCCATGATTTTTACTGTCAATTTAGATTTCTCAGCAACCCAAAGAAAACGTTTTCCTCATTCGTTTTTTAAAATTCGTTGTGTTAACACCTCTGAAAACAGTTTTTGTCCAACTTTTTTCAGTACATTATTTGTTGGTTCTAAGATCCTGTTTCTGTAATTAAGCTTAATGTAAGTTTTTATGTAGTTTTTAGTTTTTAAAACACAAAATTCAAATGTTTTTGTAGCCAGCTCGAGTGGCTTTTTTAGAAGGAAACCAGGATTTACAGGGACTTTTGGCAAAAGGCTAAATAACTTTTAAGAAATCGTAAGTATGGAAATTTGTAATGATTATATTCAGACTTCTGATATGTTATATTCCTCAGATCATGTGCTGCGGACCCTGTGGACCTCGATGCTGCGATCCTTGTGGCGGATGCTACAACTGCTGCGTTGAACTTTGCTGTGTGCCATGTACTCCAGCCTACATTCAATCCACTTGGATGCCCTGCGGTCCCAGAGGATGTTGCTAAATACTAGTTTGCCAAAAGGACGAAATGAAGTTTAAAACCTGTTCTATCTCCAACAAGATTGTAACCTCTTAGGTTCCAACATGTCTCAATAAACGAATTTAATTGTAATAGAATCACGAATCTCTATTTAATAAAGAATTTTTAAAATGATTCTTAAAGGTGTTGAGGTTGTATGATTGTATTGTTTAGTTGACCTGCTAGCCGGTAATGTATTTTTTCGCGCTATGTTTTTTGTATTTATAATGAAAACATAGGAAAATGTAAATTCCATAACTCAGTTCGGTTTGTCAACAAACTAGCCTTTGATAAGGCAGCTTTATCTTTTTATTAAGTAGAAAAAACGAAAAAATGTTTGCTCTAAAAATTTAAGGACTTTCTTTGCTTTCTATTTTCTATATTTTAAAACTCATGACGTTTTCTGTAAAAATGCTGTAATCTGATGGATCTTTTCGGGACCCATACCTAAATTTTACTCAATCTAGTAGTTTCTGATTTTGCTTATTTGTCAACAGTTTAGAAGCTGTTTATTTTCCACAGTATATCATCATTCCATCTTCGAGCACCGTTGTGAACACATCAAAAATAAAACAAATAAAATTCCGATGAAAAACACCTATTGGAAATAGCTTTTTTGTTGTGGTGAGTATAGAAAAAAAATATTCTTAAATATTTTTCAAAAAATAACTTTCGTTTTTTATTAAACCTAATTTTGCAGGACACACGTGAATTGGCTCCCCGTAGTGTTTCTTTCTTCCTCTCTTCCATCCTACCTTTGGTTTATCTTTAATTCGATCCGACCCGTCAACGGCTCCAAAATGTGCTGCAATCCCGGAGGCTGCTGTAATCTGCCAACTTGCATCCAGTGCACCAACTTTTGTTTTAACTGCTGGACTGGAACTGCCGCCGTGCCATGTTGCCGAAGAAGTTGCATTCCTGGATGCTGTGGCAGTCCAAGGTGTCGTTGCTAAAAAAAAATCTACATAAATTTCTGTGACTAAACTTTTAATAACAAATAAAACAAGACTAAAAGAAAATTAAATCTTTTACTGTAGTTTTTTAATTTCAAAATTTGTTTGTTTAACCGTAGCCAACCATCTTCACAAATTTAAAGAAGTTATTTAGATATTTTAAAACCATTCAAACCGCAATCCCTATTTTACATAAGGGCCAAGTAAAAATACCATTTAGTATTTTTGGCAGCCAGGCTTTGACAAATGAGAACTGGTCACATCACGCCATGGGAAAATACTAGAAAATACTAATTTAATGGTATATTTTAAAGGTAAATACGGTTTGATATCGAAGAAGAAGAGTCCCCGATAGGTTTGCTAAAAGTAAACAATCTGATATTATTATAGGGTGATAAGTGATAAGAACTCACTGCTCTGCACTGGATTCTACTCCATTTCAAAATGGAGGGCAGCCACTGGCTGAACTGGTGTCGCCTGTGTGCTAAGGACGACGCCCGTGGCAATGTGAAGGTGCAAATGAGTGGGAACTCCCAGGGAGCCTGGGACAATGTACTTATAATGGCAATTCGAAAGTACTTTGAGGTGCACGTAAGTTCTCCAGGAATAAGATATATGTTTGTACTGATACCAATTCATATTACACCCAGATGGCACTGGAGGACGAGCTGAGCAACGTACTGTGCACCGAGTGCTATACCCTCATCAGCGAACTAATCGATTTCGCCGAGCATGTTCAAAAAGTTCAGGCCATTTTCCAGGTCCTACGACGCACGGAGTCGGAACCCGGGAAGTATCTGAATGCGGCTGAGCTGCGTCAGCAGTATGGCCTTTGCGAGGGCGACTGGACGCACATAATCAAGCCCATGCAGGTTCAAGAAATTGACTCCGGCCAGGATGCCAGCGAAACCCTCCAGAAACAAGCCAAAGTATTAAACGAATTTCCTTTAGCGGAGGAAACATGCCTGGAAAACGAAATATCTGGGAAGGAAGATACTTCTCACTCAATTGAAATCCAAAACAGCCTGCCAACCGAGATACCCAAACAGGAATTCATTGACATCGGTCCCAATCTGTTAGAGAAGAACACAAATCAACTGGACATGGACGACGTGCTAGTTGAAATGCCTGAAGGGGAGCTATCCGAATCCCGTGTGGATAGCACAGCGTCTCCCGATTTCCAGGAGCAGGATGTCAAACCAGAAATGTTGGACAGCTTTGAGGAATTCCTGCCCGAAGGAAGCCAGCAAATGAATCTCGTCATTTTGACAGCCTCACCAAATACCCCAGACTCCAGAGCAGAGGAAAAGACCAAGCGGGGACGCATGAACTGCGAGACATGTGGCAAGGTGTACAGGAATCGCGCCTCCTACGAGAAGCACTTGGAACGCGCGTGCCGCAGGATCGAGCGGCGGGTGAAAGTGGAGAAGGGAACAACCACCTGTGATATCTGCGACAAGAAACTGTCCTCCGCCACCGCCCTAAAGCACCACAAGGAGGGTATACACCAGAATGTTAAGCCATATATATGCGATGGTTGCGGCAAACAATTGAAGACAATTACAGCGCTAAATGAGCACAAGCTTGTGCACACGGACAACCGTCCATTCGAGTGCTCCGTTTGCAAGGCGGGCTTCAAGAACCGGTCTCGCCTGAAGGCCCACCATCAAATCCATGCGGAGCCCAGTTTTGTCTGCAACATTTGCGGCAAGAAGTTGCAAACGCGTCGCACCTGGAACATGCACAAGCTGGTGCACAGCGAGGAGCGGCGCCTGAAGTGCGATGTTTGCGGAGCGCTTTTCAAGCGCTCCAAGACCCTCAAGACCCACCTGCTAAGTCACACGGGATTGCGACCTTACGTTTGCAACTACTGCGGCAAGTCCTTCGCCTGCAACGCCAACTGCAGGTCGCACAAGCTCAAAAAACATCCGCAGGAAGTTCAGCAGGAGGATGGCGCGAAGCTCTCCTCGCGCTTGAATGTACCCACGCTGGACGAACTTCGTGTCATGTGAGTACCGATTCGTAAAACTTTTATGGGATTCATTTCAATATTTTGCTTCCAGGACCCAAAAACTACCGAAGGGAACAGTCTAAGATGGTTTATTTTAAGAAACAAAAATTTTTAAATATTGTTTAACTTTACACTAATGAAATCTCAGTATGAGATTAAACAGAAGATGTATGATAAAGATCATAAAGTAACCTTACGGACTTATTTTACTTGTGCTGTTGTTTCATTTTAGTCACGTGTCAGGGAGGGTGTTTAAAATTATACCAGGAAGATAAAAAAAACACTTCGCTCCATCTTTAACACTCCCTGGAAGCCATTTGGCTCCTTTTTATGTACCTTACCATTTTTAAATTAATAAAACACCATTCATTTATTTAAAAACAAAATAATTTTATTGTGGTTTAATGGAAATAGAAATTCTTACAATACAATTGTTGTTGCTGGTTGTTCTTTTTGGTTGGTTTAATATTAATGTTACACAACATTTTTTAAATGTTAATTAATGCCATATTTTAATATAATAATAATTTAATGTTTTTTTTTTTCATTTTTTAATTACTTCGAAAATTGTGGCCCCTAAGCATTAAAAAGACTTTCATTTGTTTCTATTATTATTTCCCAAGTTCTCGCTGACGCCCTTGACTTTGCTATTCGATTTTTGGGTAGAGTTCAAAATCTGTTATATCAAATTCAAATAGGTGTTCCCGAACTCGTCACTTTAGCAAATTGCAGCTTTTAATAAATTATTATGATTTTATCTTTGTTTTACGTTTTCCACATGTATAAAAATATTTATATATAATTTACGTAATTATTTTTGGTTTTCTCTTACACATTACATTAATGAGTTGTTATCTTGGGTTCTCCCTATTTTTATATATAAGTGTATATATATAAAATGCGCATACAGTTGGAATCTTAGTTAATAATAATAGTTAATGAGTTAATAACGTTCACATTCAATTACATCGTATTCGATTTAGTTACGACTATGATTACATTTTAATTTGCTGTTTGTTTTTGCTTGTTCTTGACGAATTCAAATGTAATACATAAAAAAAACAGTTGGTGTTAATTAAAAATATAGAAGATTCAAGTTAAATGCGTATTTGGTTTCGTTTTTCTCAAGAAAATTGCCATGGTTTATTGGTTTATTACATTAAATTGTGCTCGAGTTGTGGGTAATATTGGTAGAGTGTTGAATGACTGATTGAATGGTTGAATGACTGACTGAGTGAGTATCATGCAGGGTGTCTGAGGAGCTGAGCTGAGCTGATCCTGGCAGTAAGTTGAGTCAGTTGCAAACTTGAACCAAATTGTAATTGTTCTGTACTGTGGTTAAATCTTTGTATGCATATTAGAAACAGTATATAGCATATAGTATGCATTTGGTGGGCGTGTATATATTTTTTATTTTCCTTTTCATTTCAACGCAAAAAGTTAACAATTTCCTCGTTCGAAACAGCTGAGAATGGCCTGCCTGACAAAGTCTACATGTAATATAGATTTATATATATATGTATTTATAGAATAAAAATGCCAACCCTCAATGATATACATTATTTGCTTGTCAGTCCATATTTTCCACATTTTCTTGTCCTTTACTTTAACATTTTTTTTTTTTTTTTTGTTTTAGTTTTCCTTTGTATTTCTTAAATGTAAAACAAAATTTGAGCGAAATATACGAGTTGTAACTGAACGTACAGTGTAAACAATTAACCATAATGAAAACATATTACTTTAGCTGATTACATTCCTTATTTTCATATGACTATTTAGTATATGAAAGCCATTTAAGCAACACCCTGTATACAGTATACTTGTTTTTTTATTTTCAAATTCAACTTGGCTTTAGCAGAGAAATTCAAATTGCGGGAGACGTTAAAATCAATCCTTACACAGAAAATATATAAATCGTTCGCTAAAACATAATATATATGTGTATATAAAGAAAACTTAATTATAACGACATTTAACATTAGATTGGTGTTATTTTTCGGTTTCGTTTTTGTTTTGGTTTTTTTTTTTTTAATATTAATTATTATAAAAATACATATATGTATGCATGATGACTAGATGATGATTCCATGATCGGCTTAGTTGCACTATATAGCTTTATAAATATTAAAATCTATATTGAATGCGTGATTATGAGTAAGATGAGCTAACATTTATGCATATTCAATGATTTAGCAACGTTGATTCATGTCTGTGTGTATTTGTTTGTGTGCGGTTCGACCGTAGAGACTCATTTCCACTAATTGCAAATATAGTAATATTTATAAAATTTTTTGAGTCCCAAAATTGATTTAAAATAATTGCGTAACGTAAACTTGTCCATGCATTGCCATCAAAATGAATGCGTACCATTCATTAAATATTACATCTTCCTTTCTTCAATAACAATTTTAACATAACACAATTGAATGGGGAATGTTTGGTTATTAAAAATATTTCTTTTGTTTTCGCTTTCAAATGAAATGTTGCTGTATTCTGTCTGCCAAGTAGCTCTTGTTGTTGTCATTGATGTTGCTGTGCAATTTGTGCAATACTGTAAGAAATAAAATTAAAAATTAAATAAATCAAATGGTTTTTCTTACAAAATAATATTAAGTATCAATTTTCAATGTAGAAAATTAAATTTTAAATCAAATGCAAAAAACAGTTATTCTTTGTAAAAAAAAAATGGAAAGTAAAAAGAAAGTTTAATCATCCTATTTAGTTATTGCATAATACATTGCCCATTTGGTTCTCATTTAAAGTTAGATTAACTTTTGCCTTAAAATGTTCGACTTAAAAAATTATTTTTTTTTTGCTTGTTTTTTTTTATATTTTTAGTGTTAGTTTCAATATGTTGCTTTGCTTTAAAAATTACAAAAATGCTTGGGATATGAATGTGTTTTTTTTTTAGTTTTTATTTTTGATAATCTTCAATAGGAAGAATAAGCAGCTAACAACAAACAGTTAATATGCCTTATATTTTGTATATGCATTATAATTATAGATTATATTCACGGATGTATATAAATATTTTATTTTGCAGCTAGAAAAATTAGCGAAAATATTCATTTTCCTTGTTCTTGTTGTTTGTCTTGCGCGTTTAGAGTTTTGTTTTTAGTTCATCAAAGAGTGAAAATCAGTTTTTAGCTTAAAGTCAGTTAATTTCTCAGTTTAAACAAGTGCATAGGGAGAAAAAAAGCGGAAACGGAAAAATCTGTTCAGAAAAATTCCCTAAACGAGTCTTATGTTCATTTTATTTCACAAGAGTTTTTTTTTATATATTTTTTTTTTAGTTTCACGTTTACGTTTTCGAAGCAGTCTAAGATTTTGTTGTTTTTGAGTGTTAAAAAACTGTTGAGTTCACTACTAAGTGGTTGGTTTTCTTGCCTTTAAACACACACATAAATATATTTTTATTTACTCGTAGATTTATAAGTATGTAGCGTTAAGTAGCCTAATGTGTAAAATGTATTACAGATGGAGAGGTCCAGGACTTTATCCGGGGCTTCAACTTCAACTTGATTTATTTTAATATAGTAGCAACATTATAAATATAAATATTCATATATATTTATGTATATGTGTATAATTTGTTGTGTAAATCTTTTTTTCAATTCGTGTATAAAATCAGTCATAGTTAATTATTTTGTTTGGTATTTATCATTTATGTTAGTTGTGGTTTGGATTGCTACTTGAATGTTCGGTGAAGTTCTTAACTAAGCGGTAAAAATGTCTATATAAATTATTTATCGAATGAATTGATCTTGTTCCTAAATTTCTAATCTAATAGATGTATCTTACTCCTAGTGAGAAAAAAGGGAAATCAAAAGGGGAATGAACCGATCATTAGACATTAATTCTACATTGAGTTACATACAAATTACAGACATTCAAACAGACACTACTCAAGCATGCATATTAAATATATTTTTTATTTCTCATAATTTTTCGTATTATTCTGTTAAAACATTTGACGGACTATAAGAATTAAAATCCTACTTATTGAAAGGGTCCAGCCACGAAGGCAAAACGATTTCGAATCGGTTTATAGGGATTGTTACCTCTGATCTGATATCGTTTTGCATTGGATGCTGGCCGAAACATAGACACACACACTTAATGATTATTCAGTTAGCTGCATATATCTATATGTTATATCCATAATAATTTAGTGGTTCAAGCATTTTGTTCAGAGCTTTCTTTATGCATAATCTAATAATACTTAAAAACACTTCTACGAAGCCAGTTTGAATTTTAATTACTTTTTGGATTTGGTTTACACTCATTCATAGTTCGCTGCTATTTTGCCATTCCTCTATCGTTTTCCAATCCGAACTGCCGCCGATCTACTAGAACTTGTACAAAATTTAAATTCCATACAAATATGCTCAACAATGCCGACAAATGACTTTGATTTACGTTTTTGTTTTTGTTCCTTTTCCTTAATAACATTTATCAAAAATATAAACTACAATTAAAATGATTTTTTAGATATGACATACAAACACCAATATGCTTGTATCTATATATCCTAACATCTAGTTCTGTTCTGTGTAACTTGTGCCTGACAGTCTCTTAACCAACCCCAAAAAGAGAGAGAGACCGATCCGTAGATGGATCGATCTCGTTTCGATTTCGCTTCGATTCCGTTCAACATTCATAGAGAGCTCCTAACAATCACAAAAAATAATAGTAGCAATATAATATAATATGATTAATAGATGTTTATGTGCTGTTTTTTCAGCACCAGCATGCATTGCCATTTATTAAACAACACTTACACTTAGCACTACTCAAAATGTCTTAATGGTTTCCGACTTCCTAAATGGTTTACCTTTACCTTTTCACGTCTGGTGGTGTTACTTTACTTTTGAATTTCCTTTCAGAATTTTCATTACATTTTTTTGGCGTCTTTTCTTCTGGGTTGCACGAGACTTTGCCCCAAAAAAAAACTAATCACAAATGGCGACACACGCAAAATGCCCAACTACATATACTATATCGGCAATGTTAACATACATAAATCGGTTTATATATATATAGAGCAAGATATACCAAAGCAAGTGCCAAAGGGCATTGACGCCTATTTTTGGTTATTTAGAGGGTTAGAGCACAGTTAATTGGCGGTATAAATCGTTTACATATCGATCTGGAATATCGGAAATAAAACTGCTAATATATAGTTAGTTTTGATAGCTCACTGTGCTTAGTTACACAATTTATCTTATGAGTATATATATAAATATTTCTTGTTGTTCATTTTTCCTCTAGGGTTGTGTTGTTGCTCCTTAACCGATGGTTCAAATATATAGAAATATATATATTTAAAAAACTTTCTATCGGTTTTCCATTTTTCTTTGTTGTTGCACAGTCTATTAGATTCTCAATTCATCAATTTGTTTATCAACATACATTCACATATATATCCATATAAAGATTAAATAGTTTACCACTACTATATATAGATGTCAGAGACGGAGAAAGGGGGACGGGGGTGGGAAGAAGGGGGTTAAGGAAAAGCGGAAGGTTCTGCATCAGGGGGTTAACAACATCGCATCTGTTCAAACCAATATACAAACCAATAAAAATGCTAAGAAAATAAAAGAAAATAATCAAAACAAGTAAATAATAAATAAATCAAACAGTTGGTTGGTTTTTTTTTTATCAGAATATGTATAAAAATCTTTAATTGTTTTTCAGTTGGTTTTTGTGGCATTTGTTGGTTTGTGTTTTTGTGTAGGCTTTACAACATTTTCGTAGAGCAGAGTTTGCTTGTCTATTGTTTAGTTGTAGTTTATATTATTTGTTATCATATTTGTTGTGTCCCACGTTGTGTGTTTGTAGTTCGTTTGTTTCATAACATTTAAAAATGTAATAATAATAATAATAGTTGATAAACATAAAAACAAATTTATGCAAGCACAAAATACAAATAAGGGTCCTTGTCAGAAACTATTTGTGCTAAAATGCTAATAATAAATACAATTAAATAGTATGCATTAGGCCATAATAAATACCATCAATTAGCAGTTTCTTTTGTGTTTTAGGTTTTTTTTTTCAACAATTTTTATATAAAAAATTTTCAACAGTTTTTGTATGTTTTTTTTTTTGTATTTTTTGGTTGTCAAGTAAAAAGTGTTTCTCACACAGAAAACGTACAATACTTTTGTTTAAATCCTTCATCGTTATTACAGCTACCATATTACATCGATACATCGTCTTCAATACAATAAGTCAATTAAAGACAATTAAGTTTACAACAAGAAAGAACTAAAAAATATATTTTCGTATATTTAATAATCTCACTTAAGTAAATACACACAAAACATAATTAATTATAGAATAATTCAAATAATAAATCAAACCAAATCAAAAATTACACAAAGCAAAGCGTTTTTTCAAAACAAACAAAGAGGAAACTATTTTAGTTAAATACTACGTTTTTAATACAATAAAGTAAAATTATATTCAAGAAATCTAATACCTGCTTATGTGTGGGTGTGTTAATGGGGGGGACGACATGGGTTTTAGGGGGCGGGGTTCGCGTCGCGTTCCAAGCAAAACCAACAAAAATAGTTATTACTTTTAAAATTACAAAATAAACATTTTTTAAATGCTGTTCCTGTTAATGTTGCGTTTGTAGTCTCAAAAAGTTTTATTTCCTTGCCTTAATAGTACATTAAATATTCACTTTAAATATCTAACTTTTTATTTTCCTTTTTTAACTAACCCTTAAAGAACACTTTCGTTAGGTTTGCAATCATTTGAGGCCTATCAAAATAAATGCTTTTAATTAAAATCATTGCAAGCAAAAAAGTCCAAGAGCACACAGTGGGTAACAGAAAGAAAAGAGATTAAGAATCCAGCAAATTGTTTAAGCAACTTATTAGATCTCAATATCAGATCATTCTGTTTCCCACTGCATGGGTTTCATATTTAATACCTATTTCTCTCGAAGAACAAAACAAAAAAGCGATTGGTCTGGCTTGGCTTGGTATGTTTTTCCCTCAGTTTCTTCTTTATAACTATTAAATTATTTGAGATTTGTTTGTTTTACTCATTTAAGTGTTTATCGTACTTTAATATATAAATACATATGCATATGTGGGGACATAGACATATTTAATTGTATAATTATAATAGTTATAAATGTTTTAAGTCTTCTGCGCTGATTGCCAACTTTTAGTTAAATGTTACTTTTGAATTTTTCAATTAGATTTATGCACACTCTCTATATAATTCGATTTCGTTCTCGAAATTGCCACTAGCCTGTGGGCCAGAGGCACAGCATCAAAAACATTTGGATGATGTACATAAATATCGCTTTGTTTTTAGTTGATATACACATTTCAATATTTATTTAAATTCAATTTGACAACAAATAATTTTTTGCATATAATATAGTAATATAGTTTTGGGCAAAACAACAAATTCGTCCGTGTTGCTTTCAAAACAATGAAATTATTTTAAAAAATAAATGCCTAAACAAAAAATAGTTCAACAATTAAGAACACAAATTTCAACTATATTCAGTGCTTTTAGTTGGTTTTGTTTAATATTAAGAAACGGCAAAAGGATTTTTCGTCTGCATTATTATTAGGGTTAATTCATCTTTTCTTTCTCCTGTCGTGGTACAATAAAACAATGAAAAAACATAAAAACTAAGCGAGTATAAAAATTGTGAATTGTTGTTTGTGTCGCGGTTCGGTTTTGGGATCGGTTGATTTTCGTATAAAAGTAGCAAACATGTCTTAGAAGATAATTAATTAATGTATACATATAAATAATCAGTAATCAATAAGTGGTATAATCAAAAATAATTTATAAACGTAAAAAACAGTTATATAATATATAATGTATCAAATGTTTATGCAATCAAAAATAATAATAACAAACAATTTGCGCAATCATATATCTAAGAATTACAATCAATTATTAATTAATTAATGCTCGATACGCGGCTATCCTTCCTTTTCGACATTGTGTAAGCAGTTAAATGTTAAATTTATTTTATATTAACTTCTTTTCTTTTTTTTTTGTTAATTTTTTAAAAGTATTTTTTATTTGTTTGCAGTCTGCAACGAACATAAAAAAGTGGAGGGATTTCTTCTGGTATTTATATAGTTAAAAGTGTCATTTCTTTTGTTTGTTTCTGGTGTGTTTTGTTTTTTGTCTGGTGCGCATTTAATCGACAGCCAAAACGAATGAGAGACTTGCACGCGAGGGAGGAGGGTTTTGAAGTGAGAAGTGTGCAAAGATATAGAGAGGCGGCGGCACTATACGATTTGAACATGAACATGAATACACAATATATATATTTATCATAAACAAATACACACAAAATAAAAACTAAGCTTAACAGTGTAAATATATATATAAAAAAAAATAAAACAAAATTCAACAATAATTTAAAAGATAATAAAAATTATTCCAACAGTGTGCGTGTGTGTTATTACATAGCGAGCAAAGTCTAAGGCTATGAGAGATGACAGATCGGGGGAGATAAGGGGCTTATAGATTTCGCTTTCGATTTCGATTTTGTAGATTTAGAATTAGAGCTGGAGAGACCGCGCAAGTCAGACTATTGAGAACTTAGCTTAGAGCAGTAGTGAGAGCCGGACCACAGATCCTCCTCCATTCCGGACTCCCATCCATGGAGTGTGTGTCTGTGTGTTTCTGTTTACATACCCACTGGCGCCAGTTGGACATAGCGATAAATGTAGAGCCGGTAGTCCTTGCTGGCCAGCACCACACTGCCGTCGTCCATGAGCGCCACATCGAAGCACTGAGCGTGCTTCACCTTCGACTCGAGCGCCGAGATCAACTGCCCGTCCTGCGTGAAGATCGTCAGGTTGAAGTTGTTGTGGTTGTCCGCGATGAGGATCTCCCCGTTCGAGTTGATCCCGACGCCAATGGGGTAGTTGGTAATGCCCTCGCCGCCAATCTGCCGCAGATACTGGCCCTCGTAGTTGAACACCTTGACGCAGTGCGCCCGATTGTCGCTAATGAAGATCTCCTGCTTGTCGTTAACCACCACGCCGTTGGGGAACTCCAGGTGCTTGGAGCACCCGAACTTGTGCAGCACATTGCCGTTCTGATCGAAGATAATCACCCGCATCACCTTGCACTCCACCACAATGATGCGCCCCTTGTTGTCCACGGTCACGCCGCGAGGATGCTGCAGAATGGTGGCCCCGAACTTCCTCACAAACTGGCCGTACTGGTTGTAGATCTGTATTTGGTGTGTGGGCGAACGCTCGGTGACGATAATATCGCCGGAATTGCGCACCACAGCCACACGATTCGGGTACAGCAGCTGGGAGTCACGCTTGCCGCACTCGCCAAACTGGAACTTGAAGCGTCCCTCCTTGTCGAAGATCTGGATGCGATGGTTGTTCGTGTCCGCAACAATGATGTCGTTTTGTGCATTCACAGCCACACCGCTGGGCTCCGTGAACTGGCCCTCCATCACGCCGAATTCGCCAAACTTGCAATGGTAAATCATCTTCTGGCGCTTGATTTGCGACTTGGGAGGATAGATAGTGGCCGAGAGCAGTTTGTTGGTCAGGTCAAGCAGCGACTCGGAGCTCACGGTACTTCCGCCGGCTCCACCGCCACTCACCACGGTTCCTCCGACAGAAGACAGGCTGGCAAAGGCATCGGCCACTGCAGAGCTACTGGCTCCTCCGCTTGTAACAGACGAAAAGAGATTATCGCTGCCGCCATTGCTCCACTTCTCGTATGGGTTGTAATGGAGCGCCACGGTACTGGCGGCTGATCCATTGCTACCGCTGTAGTTACCGCCTCCTCGCTTGGGCATCAGTTCCCCGAAGTGCTGTTCCACGGCCAGGGCGTTGCGATCACGTCCGCTAAGCAGGAGTCCTCCGTTGCTGAAGGCTCCTCCAGCTCCGCCTCCGTTAGAGCTGCTATCCAACAAACTGGCACCACTCAATCCAAGACCCAAGCCATGCAGCGATGATTGCGCCTGCAGTTGCTGATGATGTGCAGTCTGGTGATGGTTGTGGTGGCCATGGTGATGTGACTGTTGGTGGTGACCATGGTGGCCACTACCCGCGCTGCTGGCGCTACTGTTGCTGGCGCTCTGTGTGGGTCGGGCAATCGGGGGCTGCTTTCCATGTCCATTGCTGGTCAGGCTCAGACCAGCATGTCCTCCATCCGAGGTGCTTGCCCGAATGTATCCAAAGGTGTTGCGTACGCCGGCCTGAATCGACTGGTAGTTGGACATGAACTCCATCTCGAAGGGAAGCTGCATCTCCTGGATGCCTGTCTGTAGCTGCTGCTCCAGGGATTTGCGCAGGAGCAGGGCCTCTGCCAGCAAAGAGGATGGCGGAGCTGGACTCCGCTCAACCGCCTCGCAGGTGGCCAGTCCCTTGTCGATCAAGTCACGGGAGCGTTGCTGCCACGAACTATTGCTGTTCACCTTGGCCGAATACAGGGTCTCCAATTCCTTCAACAGTTCCGTCTTGCGCTCATCCAGCATGGAGGCGAAGAACTGGTGCGTCTCGTTCAGCTCGTTGTGCGCCTTCTGGTACTGCAGCTTCACCTTGGTGAGAATCTGGTCTGAGTTTCCGGCAATGCCGACAATCTCGCCAATCTTGCCGCGCATGTCGGCGAGCAGAGTCTGCAAAGCGGTGTCATTGGCCGTGGATCCCGTCGAGGTTGTCGTCAATCCGGGTGACTGCACATTCTCCAGTTCATGGAGACCTGTAGAGTGCTCCAACACAATGCACTCTTTGCACACAAGGATGCAGCAGGTGCGGCAACTGAACTTGAGCAGCTCCTGTTTGTGTCGTGGGCAGAAGAGTTGCCTCTGCTGTTGCTGCTGCTGCTGCTGCTGTTGTTGCTGCTGCTGCTGCTGCTGTGGGTGCAGTGAGCCATAGATGCTCTCCTCTCGCTGCTGCTCCTGGGAATTTGCCTGAGCGGCAGCTGCTAGTACAATCTTCGAGAGTTGCGACATAGGCTGCGCCGGCAGCAATTGTTGCTGCTGCTGTTGCTGTTGTTGCGAGTCCAACTGTTGCTGCTGCTGTTGCAGCATCATGGTAAGCGAACTGGCGTACTTGAACTCATTCGAGGCCGGATTGTTGCTGGGCGAACCCACGGACAGAGGAGTCCCGGTGGTGCTCGCCTCGAAACCCTTGATCAAGCACACATTGTGCCCGTTGAAGCAGTGCATAAACTCGTGAGCAGTCACACAATTGGCGCACAGATAGCTCTGGCAATCGAAGCACTTGGCCACCGCATCGCTGCACTTGCTCTTGCAGGCGGTGCAACGCGGCGGTGATCCATTGGCGGATGTGTTGCTCGAGGAGCTGTTGCTGCTGCTGCTGTTGCTTCCCTTGCCGGCTCCCACGACCAGGCTGCTGATGCCTGAGTTGCTGCCATTGTTCGAGCCCTGAAGATTGCTACCAATCACCCCCGGTCCATTGCTGCTGGCCACATTGTTGGCGCTGATCACACTGCTGCTGGTACTGCCGCAACCGCTGAGGCCGCTGGTCGAGGAGCTGGACGAGGACGATGACGAGGATGAGGACGAGGACGACGACGAGCAGGAGGATGAGCTGGCCGAGGAGCTAGACGAGACGGAGGCCGAGATGGGATGGTGGCCATTGATCACCGTCACCTCGGAACGCGACTTTACGCTGCTGCCGCCCGTGTACTCATCACTGCAGATTGCCGAATCGCTGGCCGGTGGCGAAGAGCCGCTCAACGTGAGCGGGGAGTCTGATAGATAGCCGGCGTGTTCGTACGATTCAATCGAGTTCGCCCCGCCCCGCATCGAGTCCAGAGATGGTGTCGGTGAGGACGCCATCTTTGTGCTATAATTGCCGTCGGTGGCTCCGTTTACCTTTAGGAGTAACAGCTGCAAGGAAAGAGAGCAAGTGAAGACATGGATTAGATTCGGTTTTACTAAGTTATGTACTTATTACCACTTATTAATTACAAAATAATGTATAGCACGTGCTTCCGTTCCCTCCTGACTTTTTTGCCTTGTTTTTTGCTTTATAGCAATCTCGTCTTTTATTTTAAAGCTGCCTATAGCACCGCATTTTTCTTCCTAAGCCGACAGACTGCCTCCATTTCCGCCCCTTAAATCAACTGACCCATGAGTCACCTGCGGTCCTTGTCTTTTCTCCTCATGAGTCAGCAGCTCCTCCACTTGAACCGAAACGTTTGGCATTTCCATGGCCCCGCAAACAAACAAATATATGCCACACCCCACAAACGGCCGCCTTTTTCTTAGTCATCCCCCCTTTGTTTTCATAATTTGTAGTTAATTGCCTCCTTCCAACTGGCTTGGCCCATCTAATCCCCTAAAGCGCGACAGCTGTGACCCGTGTTCTTATTAAACATCTTCGAAGACAGTTGAAAGGTATGTGTTTTCCCCCCCAGCTTTACTATATCCCCCACTCCCCCAACGACAGAATCGAATCAAACTAGGATACGCGCCCCCATGGAATGCTTTTAAGGCACAATTCCAATTTCTTACGGCAGAGTGGAGAAGCGAAGCTAAAAGGGAAGCTGTACTGTTGGGTGCGGGATGAAAGGACTTTGACCGGGAGAGCAGTCCCCTGCCCCTGGTCCTTCCATTTCGACTACCCCCTAACCTTTATCCTTCGCTCAGGAGACGGACACAAATGCAATAAACGCACGCACAGACAGAAGGACACCCCGTAATAATAATTTTACTTCCCCTTTTTGCTGCCATCGCGGTTCGTTGCCTTCGAGAAAGGTACAGGAGTTGGGTGAAATGGCAATGGCAGGCAAAAACAGGATAAATAAACGGGGAGTTTCACAACAAACCCTCGGTCGCTGGAAAAAGTAAACAAAAAAAAAAAACAAAAACGGGGAGCCCTGTAGAAACTTCTCTAGATTTCCAGAGCAGGCGAAACTTCCGTCAACAAGAAAATCAACGTAAAAGGCAATAACCAAGTGAAAGCCAAGAGAGCCCAGCGAAACGAAACGAAACTCAAAATCAACCCCGAAAAATGCGCCCAAGGGGGGAAAATGTTGTATGCCAGGGGGATGTATTTATGGGGAAGGGGGGACTGCAACTGTCTAGACTGGATGTACATTTATCATGCACACACACACACACACACCAAACCAAAAGCCATTCACGGAGTTCCCTAGAAAATCCTTTCTAATTTCAAAAAACATTCTCATTTTCGTTGTGAAGGAAACTAATTTGGTATTCCTAAACATTAGTACATTAGTATACAAAATATGACAAATTAGGAAAAACTATGCATTCCTGTTTACAAAGTACTGAATTTAATACATTTGGACAAAAGAAGTTGAGAGATCAAGAGTGAAAGAAAGAGTGATCATTTTTTAAAGATACCAAATATAACACTTTGATTATTATATTTATTGTAATCCTTACTTTTACCTTCCATATTACTTTCTATTTTTTCGAACTTTAAGTTGTTTTTTATTAAGATTATCCAGATATTGTGAAATACTATTATATTTTACAACTTTATTTTGCACCCGCCTTATCTGAATTGCTTCAACCTCTGTAGGCTCCCGTAATCTCTGATAAATACCCAATATCTACCGGTGATTTTCCCAGCAAAGGGAACACTGTGAAACAATAAAAATAAAACAAAAGGTAAAAACTCATTAAATGGAGATAAGCCGACTTACCTTTACTGCTTTGTTGTTATATTTTGTTGTAGAATTTTCTATATATTCCAGTTTTGTTTCCTGGTTTTTTGTAGTGGTTGTTGTTGTTGTTGTTGCTTCTTGTTGCTAGTTGCTGTTGCCTTCTCGCTCGCTCTCACACTACGCAGGTCTATATAATAAAGTGCGTGGGATGGTTGCCGTTGTTGTTGTCTTTGTTGTTGCAGTAACAAGTTGAAACAAATTTGTGTAGCATACTTTCAAGTGCTGTCAGTTAATTGCGTCGCGCGCACAAAAGGCTGCAATGAAAAAATATCACAAAATTTATGATTAGTAAGGATAATAATGAAAGGCAAGGTTAATTGAGGGGGCTTTGTTGTTTTAATTAATTATTACAATGACGTCGTCGTGCGCGTTGCTCTTTTTCCCGGCAAGGACACTGCAAACTTAAGTAATGGTAAAATGTTCGCTATTTATATGTACAAATCGCGTGTGACGTGAATGCGACGCGGCTCCCTGCAAAACTAACTCTGCGCATAATGCAGCGACCCGGGTAAAGCTCAGGTCCCCGAGAAAGCAGAGACGCCGGCAGAGACAGAGGCAGCGACTGCGTCAGAGGGCAGCAGAGAGCGGCAAAATGTCCTGGGAATTTTGCTGCTCCAAAAACACCAACAACTCCGCAAAAGTTGCAGCAACGCAATGCAAGGCTACACACACTCCAGTCTGTGATTTTTTGTCTGTCTGCCTTTTAACCAACATACTGCCAGAATGATAGAGGAAAAGGCACTACAGGAAAATCCGGGAAAAATCAATACATCCTATTTACATTCACAAAGCAAGAGAGAGCGACGACGACGACGAGTGCCCAAAAGAGCGCTCATTTCGCCGAACTGTTGAATGCCGGCTGCAAAAGCAACAATACAACTGCACATCTCATCACCACCCCCTCGTTGCTTATGTTTTAGCCACCCCTAAAACAATATGGCGGCCACTCACCCACAACAAAATAAATAAAAGTAAAATAAGGAAACCACCACCCCCAGAAAGAGCAACAATTTTCCACGGCAAAAAACATTTTTTGCGCGCGCTACAGGTTGCGTGTGAGAACCAAAGAAAGAGAGGCGGAAGAGAGTGGTCGAGAAAGAGAGTTACCCGGAGAGAAGCGCAACAAAAACAGGAAGCGATAAACGATAAATACACTGAGCCAATTTATTAAAACGAAATGTTGTTAAACTTAGTGTTAATAAATATTTTATATAGTTTTTGAAAGAAAAAAAAATAATTTGAATATCCTATTTCAAATAATATCCGTATAATCATAAGTCTATCATAAGGTGTCAATATTGTTTTATGCTAATGATTTCTTTCGGTGTACGCTATGCGCATGTTTTTTTTCCCAGTTTGGGCAACGACCGCATCCAAAAGCAATAAAAACAAAAAGTTCTCTCATTCTCCCTCTGCCCCTCTCTTGCTCCCTTTCTTTTTCTCTCTCCTTTCCATTCCATTTCGCTGTTCTATGTTGCCACGGAACTTTCGAGAGGAAGAGAAGAGACAACTATGCTTGAAATGACGTTGCAGCAGCAGCATCATCATCATCATCGTATTCGCATCTCATCAACATAACTGCATAGCGAAAATTTCTGTACACCGGCAGATAAGGCGGCGGGAAAGAGACAAAAGACAGCAGGGGGCGGCAAGCGGAAAAACTGAGAGGAAAATAGCCAGACGACAGGCACATAAATCCGCACACATACACACCACCACACATGCAAAATACAGATTTACACGTGTAAAATAGCGGCATTTTTTTTTTTGCAACATTACCAACTGTTGCGAAACGAGAAGAATGAGAGAGGGCAACAAAAAAGAAGCGGAGATCTTCAAAAGGAATCAATCACTCACTCACTTTAGCACTTTCCGCTCACACCTGGCACGCACACAAACACATGCCCGTAGAAAAAAAAAACCTGACTCATAAATTTATCACCGTCGATTTCAACAAATTAGTTAATAAACACAAGAATAGCACCAAAACGTCACCTTTCAAAGAGAAAACCTGATTTGTTGTATCTGGAAATTAGTAATACCCTTCCAATCCATGTATTGAGATTATTTTTCAATCTAAAATCAAATGTATAGGTATTTAACTAAGTAGTACATAGCATTTTTAAGACAATACTATTTTTTAGTTCCGTAATAATCTCTATAAACATTTGATAATATTATCTTTAAATTGGTTTCTAACGAATTTTCAATTAAGCACTTGACTATGAGAGAGAACCACTTCTGAGCCCAAATTAAAACAATCTATACAGATAACTTGTCTTAAGTAAATAACCTCCCATACCTTTAAATGATACTTGATAGAAAATATGTTAAAAGTGCAATACCCTCAGTTAGAGCATTAAAACCCACAATTAAGCCTTGCTAGGGGGGGACTGAAGAGGAATTGATAATAATCAAGTTGTCTATCGATTAGATTAGCAAATTTCGGAGATAGTTGACGAAAAGCAGGCGGGTTATTAAAGTGGTTCGGAACAAATCAAACTGACAGTTGGATTGTATATCATGACAAGATTAATATCATTTGGGGCCACAGGCCCGTCAGAAGAATTGTATCGTCTCCGCTTTTCGAGAAGAGGGTGTGGAGCTCAATGTCTGTGCCATATGTTTTACTTAGCATTATTTGGGAGGGTATAAAGAGGGGTGTTCGAACAAATTCCAGACCGCTTGTAAAAGTGTTTAAAAATAGAGCGGGCTAATAATCAGAAATGCGAGTGCAGTGCACTGAGGGCGTGCCCGAGCCCCCCCTCCGTATCCCAAATCCCCCTTCTTCCATAATTAAGCACAAAAAGAAGAAGAGTCGAGGGAGGGCGGAAGAAAGAACAAGAACCAGAAAGGGAGCAAAGCAAAGCGGAGCAAAAGAATCGACGTGGACGTGGTTACCCCATGTGAGAAGTGGAACAAACTGCGCACAGGCATTACTAATGCAAAACAATTTGTGCAAGATTATAAATTTCATGGCTCAGGAGAAGTGGAAAGAAAACAAAACAAGGCATTGCGATGTGCTGCTGATGACGATGATTATGGAAAAAATAATGATCAAGAACAAGAGCGGACAGCACCAAGTTCAAGCCAAATCTAGATGGTGTGTGGGAGCAAAAAAAAACACAGGGGGATACCTATAAATTAAAGACAGTCGAGCCTCCCTAACTGAAACTTAAAACCAGTTTTAGACGCTTCAAGATCTATTCCATAATATACTGTTCAAACGGAATTCATAATAATAAATCTTTTGATTTTACTGTACTTGAGTCTGGTGATTTATTTGATTTTAATGAAATATTTTTTCTTATCGCTAAATACATAAATTTTAGTACTAGCGTTACAAACTGCAATTTCCTTTAAAAATAATAATTTTGATAAGGAGATTGGCATTGTAGCGATATAAGCACTAATATTAAATATAAATTGTAGAAATATTTAACAAAACACACAAGAACATTTCAATTATAAAAGTGTTATTCAAATTAGTACCCACTGTAATTCCGCAAAAATGCATAAAGAGAGGAAGTGGAAGCAGGAGGGAATACGTTCTGGTTGTGCAGCAAAATAAACAAGGCTGTGTTCAACTTCCATGCATTCCCCTGCGGAATGAATGCTTTTGGGGTTGCAACTGCAGCAGAGAGTTCAATGGTACCAAAAGCAGCAATAGCAGCAACAAAAACAAAGGCAATTACCATGCCACATACACCCACAGACAGTGGTGGTAAATAAAATTGGGCACTGCATAAATCTAAACACCTAAAAACGTATTCCAGATAAATATTGTTAATGATTTATTAATAATTCGATTAGCTGTATGCATATGCATCTTTCAAATTAAATAATTATGATAGAAAAACCCGTTTTGTTTGCTTAATAATTATGTATTTGCATTTAAGCCTCTTATAAGCATGCTACTGTGTATAAATTAGTTTATTGACGCCTTCTTCATTTAACGATTTTCCGTTGAATACCCAAGTGCTATAAAGCCATTCATGTTATTAAAATTAAAATTCAATTAAAACAAAAACTATAAAATTAAAACCAGTTACGTTCATGTCGTCTTTTAGTGATTAGTGATTAAAGTGTCAATAAAAAGCTTAGAGCTATTATTTTGACCGCAACTATATGCAGAGGATACAGACACTCAAACTGCAGCGAAAAATAAAAGAGACGCCCAGCACAAAGAGCAAGCCATAAAACAGAACAAAGAAAACTACCTTTACCTGCTTGCCACACACACACACACAAACAGATACACGACTTCTTCTAACCGAGACAACAACAAAAAATGCTGTCAGTTGGCAGATAAAATATCCGTCCCGATCCCAATTCCAATCCTCTTGCCATCCCATAGCAACCATCCCATTCGCATCCTCAATTTCATCGCAAAGGCACCGCCAACATCACGACCGCTGTCTTGGCTCGATGCAAATTTCAGATACAGTGGATATTGGCGCAGAGCAACTTCGTGAATTCTACAGAAAAACGATCTGCCCATTCATCTCTCTGTTTCCATTACCTCATAACTATTCAATCATAATCTTTTAACATCGATTAGTCGATTACAACGTAATACAGATTAGTCATTAACCAAGTAAAACCAATTATTCAAAAGATACATATCTATTATCTTAAGTTCAAGATATTGTTGTCAGGTTGTTAAATTTATACATTTTTTGGGTCGATTCTTATTTCTTGATAGCAATCTTATAAAATAAGAAAGGACCTAAATATTTAAAGAATCTTTGAAGTTTTTGAAAGTATCTGTAATATCCTTTTGAAAATAGTAAGTTAAAAATCCATGAGTTTAATATCTATAGAACTTAATTATTGGCATATCTCTCTTAACAATCCCAAAATATTTTAGGGTAGGTAGCGTGACAAGAATATATGTATGGATGGTTTTCTCGTAGACTTTGGTCTGTCTAACCGATCTTCACTGTAATCCCCCAGTGAAATTCGTCGAATTCTGCGACGTTTGCTCCTCCCGCATTTTTTGTAGTTTTTTGTTAATTTTTTTTCTTTTTTTTTCAGACGATGCCAGCTATGCGTCAGCAGCGAAGCGACCCCCAAAGCAGCAGCTGCTGCTCAATGAAATTGACTTGACGCATTTTATTGAAGGAGACAATGGGCAAAAAAAAAGAGGAAGAACAAGAAAAAAATCTGCACAAGGGAGTTTTATTGTTGCCGACGAGAGAAAGAGGAAGAAAGAAGAACGGCAGCATCCAATTTAGCAGAGGGTCCCGAGATC